TAAAAGGAGACAACTTGCTTTTATTAATTCATCTTTCAAAACATTGTCTTACAATGGAATACAATAGGCTTATTTATAGTTAAAACCTAAACTACTAAGACTAATCCAATAATACAAGCTTCCCAATTCAACTTTGGAAACACTAACAAAATACAAAACCTAACATGAAAAGACTACCTTATTTCGGCCCAACTTGAGGTTTAACTTGGCCGATTATTTCACCACTAATTAATGACTAAATTAACACTAAAACACTAAAAAAATAACATAATGACTAAAGACTTAATCATCAACATAAATTCCACATTAAATGTGACTCCTCCACCACTTGAATGAGATGAACACGTTTGCAATCTTCTTTTTCAAGTCTCTCAATACGTTTTGGGACAATTTCTTGACTTTGAACCATGCGAACCAGAAGACTTCATGCATGTTAGATGTGCCCGTGTCTAACTTAGTTTGATAAACCCCGTGCTCGCATCATTCCCCTTCTCTTAAAATGATTTGTCCTCAAATTTTGGAAAAAAAATGATGGAAGAACAAACGAGCAGCATATATACTCCACTTTCAGCATTTTGGGCAATTGACTTGTCATAGCCTCCACAAGAACTGTAGGATCAAAAATAGAAGTTCTACCTTCCTTTGACATATTGATGTAACCTGCAAAAGAGTTAGAAGAGAATTTTTTTCCTTATTCGCTCCCTCACATGTTTACACTCAACCCTCGTCAATCATTCAAGTATTTAAATAGTCTAATGATCTCACCAACAAAGTTCTCAAGGCCACTTGATCAACTCCTTGAAGAAACTAGAGTTCGTTCTAGCGTTAAACAACGTAACAACTTGAATCAAGTAAATTTGTGATAATTTTTAAGCAAGATACGACTGACCTGGACAAATTTTGACTCAAAACTGACCTCTAAGATCCTAAAAATGACTGGAATTATTCTGGAATTGAACTAAGAATAGTGACTTAAGGAAACAAAAGCAAACAAAGCAAGAAAGACCAATAAAATCTCTACCCGACACAACTTTGTCTTGCAGCTATAAAATTAGGAAACAAGCTGGAACACTTGACTAAAGGGCTAGATGAAATATGGCGGTTCAAACAGAATTTAGCTCAACAAAAATCAGATTTGGAAGCTGCCCAATCCGTTTGTGTTTTGGAAAAGGCAGTTGGTGGCTGTTTGCTTCCTTTTTGTTTTTCAGCCGATTTAAAATCCCTCCAAAAACACAATTGGTACTTTGTTTAGAATGTCTAAAGGTCAAGATTTGTGGCTGAGTAGATTTTTTTTTTGTTTAGTCACAACTGCCAAGAATGGAAAAGGCAGTTGGTGGCTGTTTGCTTCCTTTTTGTTTTTCAGCCGATTTAAAATCCCTCCAAAAACACAATTGGTACTTTGTTTAGAATGTCTAAAGGTCTAGATTTGTGGCTGAGTAGATTTTTTTTTTTGTTTAGTCACAACAGCCAAGAAACTCATATTCAAGGAAATCTAGGGTTTCGTACTTCTTACTTAACCCGATGAAGATGTAGTTCAAGGTTTCCAAGAAAAATCTGAATTATTGCAGCAAGATACTCAAGATTTGTAGAATGTAGCTCAAGAATTCAAGAAACACAATGAAGTTCCCAAGATTTCCCAAAACAATCCAAGAAAGTGTCCAAGATTTCCAAATTTCCAGCTATAGTTTCAAGAAGTTCAAGAACCAAGTTTTTGGTCTTCAAGAATTTCAAGATTGATATTTGTACAATCAAGGACTTTAATAAAATCCAGAATTTGATCCAAGAATTTTAAGAACAAGGCATGTATAGCCACACACAAGTCATGACTAACAAAAGTTGCGATAGAAACCCTAACTTGTTTCATGGATTCCTTCACAACAAGACATGGCCAGAATTTTTTTTTTGTAAGTGAAACATGAAATTAAATAACCAAATTGACACACTTGAGCTCCAGAAAACATGAAGAAACAACAATAATTAACACCAATAGATACGGGCAAAAATTAACAATAAGACCCGAGATGCAACAAGGAACAAAACCCTACAACTCTTCTACACTTGACCACAGATGGATACCAAAAACAAAGAAGCAAACACGAAAATATAATCTGAATTTTTTTTATTCGAATGAATAGTAACTCAAATGAACAGTGACGCTATAGTATGATGAATAATAATGCAATAGGAATGATGAACAGTAACTACTACAGTATAGACAATACCCAAAAATTTTTTTTGACGACTCAAAACAGGGTCATGACTTCACTTGAAAGAAATTTAATGGAGTTAAATCCTTGAAAAAACTGTTGCCAAGAATGTAATTACACCAAGAAATTTCAACCTTGATCAATCAAAGGGGTAGGTTAGAATTAAGCGATAAAATCAAGAAAACAAGAATCAAAATTTTTTTTGGTTTCTTTTAAATCAAAAAGGCAGTTAGGGTTTTGGTAGAAAAACAACTAGAAAAATAAGAAAAGAAAAGGATATTAACATGAATCAAGAGTCGAAACTCTAATACCAACTGATACGAACCTGATTCTCCAAGGATCGTTCGAGAAGAAATTGAATTGATCAGATAGCGGAAAGGTCTATCTTGACCAGATTATGAAACAATAAGTATCTTGCTAGAACTAAAGAGAACTCATCTCTAGAAACCTAGTGGATTGGTCATTGGCTTGAAAGAACAAGATAATGTGATCATTTTGTCTTGAACACCACAAGTACCCAAACTAAATACTTGATATAGTTCAAGAAGAAACTCATGTTCCATCAAAGAACTCCATAAAAGAAGACAACTCACTTTTATTAATTCATCTCTCAAAAAGTTGTCTTACAATAGAATAAAAGAGACCTATTTATAGTTAAAACCTAAACTACTAAGACTAATCCAATAATACAAACTTCCTAATTTGACTTTGGAAAGACTAACAAAATACAAAACCTAACATGAAAAGACTACCTTATTTCAGCCCAACTTGAGGCTTAACTTGACCGATTATTTTACCACTAATTAATGACTAAATTAACACTAAAATACTGAAAAATAAAATATTGACTCAAGACTTAATCATCAATATAAATTTCGCATTAAATGTGACTCCTCCACCACTTGAATAAGATGAACACGCTTCCAATCTTCCCTTTCAAGTCCCTCAATATGTTATGGGACTCATGCATGTTAGACATGCCCGTGCCTAACTTAGTTTGATAAACCTCGTGCTCACATTAGTTGTTGTTTCTCAAGTGATGGGGTGTTGGAGATGCTGGTTTGACATTTTCCTTGGAGATGATTTCAATTTCCACAGCTATAGTTTCTTGTTCGTGAATCGAGTGGACACTGTAGATAAGATGCGCAAAAATTTTCACCCATGTGCAACACAAATAAATTAAGAGAATATCACTCATATGCAACATAAATAAATTTTCGCTCATGTGTAAAATTTGCAAAATTTTATTGATGCTTTACTACATAACTGACCTAAAAGTTGTACTGTTAAAACTAATAGTCAATTTAATTTGCTTTATGAATTAATAATTTCAACACTCTTAATGCAATTATTTTTACATTTGTCAGTGAGAGAGTCTAAATACTTGGCACAAACATGAAAATAAAAATTCAAATATTAATGGAGGTTATGTTTCATGCCTCCAAATTTGCTTGTGAAAAAAAAATGCTTTACATAGACAGTGTAGAAAAAATTAAATTGGATAGGAGTTGACCAAGTCAAACCCAATTAAAATTGGGAATGAATTAAGAAAAAATTGAAAAATTCATTTTTTGACATTATTTTTTTCAGGCACTTTCATTTTAGTTTACCAATTTTTTAAGTTTTTCTTAATTTCTCTTAATTTGAGTTTGATACTTAAAAATTTTATGCTATTTATCTTTCACATTCCCTCAAGAATTTTTTTTAAATTTCAATTGCAATCTTATTTTCTACATTTTGTCAAATATGCCTTGGAATTTTGACAAAATACCATAAAAGATATGTTTATATGTATTCTTGTACTGTTTTACTGTAGTACAGTTAATGTGTGTCGGAGGATGCTTCTTCTATGTTGAAGGTTTAATTGTCAATGAAAAGGAGTTAATTTGTCACCCTAACCAAAAACAAAATCACATACCTTTTAGAGTACGTAGCAATGCCTGAAAATGGAGTGTATCCTTTCAATGAACATTTCTGTTGAAACAGCACTGGTTTTGAAATGACAGTCCCTTCGGACTGGTGGGGCGAGGAGAAGAACCGGCATTGCGAAGCCAATAATAATTCCCTTAGTCTGGGAACCACTGTTCTGGAGAGGAACCACCTTATGATGTGATTAGTGACAGTAAACAAACGGGAGCTAAAAAGAAAGAATTTAAAATTTCTAACTGAGGCTAAAACTCTAAAGGCTTGATATCCCAAGCAAAGACCTTCTCTCTCTTATGAGAGCCTTTTCTCTCTCTACGAGAGCTTTTCCCCCCAATAGTGGGAGCCAAAAACTTTTCAACTGAGCTAACTTTTTCAAACCTTCGAAAACCAAAAACCAGATCTTCAGAAAAGGTGTGAACTAATGGATCCTTTGAAACCAATCATCGTGAATCTGTCTTCACTTCCAAACAAAAACGGGAGTAATTGCTGTTGTTTTTAGTTTAGGAGTATTCCCAGTCTCTAGGAAGTTCGGACATCTTAAAAGCAAGTAGTTTGGAGTTTGGAGGCCGGAACATAACAACATGGAAAGTTGCAGCCATAAATGTAGCCCTGCCTAAAGCCAGGGTTCTCTGTTTAGGTTCATTCTTTCTCGTCTTTATTCACTGCATTTATTCCATTTATTGTCCTCTTTTATTTCTTTTTTTTCTCTCTCTCTCTCTCTTTGTATTCCTCGTATCTTCATGTCTCCCAGGAAGGTATTTACCTAGAAGAAGTGTGCTGATTTGGTAGCTAATCTGAACAAGCTTGGTTAGATCCTGTTCATTTTCTCAGAGAATTGGGCTTCCACCAAAACATCATATTCCTACTATGGCGGAAGAGTTGTCTGAGATCTTGCAAAAATTTGCTTTGAATAACCAAGAATGTAGTATCACTGACCTAGATGCAGGAGATGCCAGCATAAGTAGGCAGGAATGCCAAACCAGTTTGCTGGGGAAAATTAGGGGAGATAAGATAGCTAATTTTACAGGAGTTAAAAACTTTGTGGCTAATGCATGGGGTTACCCGAAAGACCTCAAAGTTACTGAGCTGGGACCAAACTTTTTCCAGTTCGGAATAAAGGGGGAGGAAACCAGAGAAAGGATAGTCAATGGAGGGCCATGGATCTTGGATAATCAGATACTTGTGTTAAGTAAGTGGTATGGGGGGATTGAGGATGACCCTAATGTTTTTAGAATAGCACCACTATGGGTTCAGATGTGGAGCCTCCCTATACACTGCATCTCTAAGGAGGTAGGAAAGAAAGTAGGTGCAGTGTTTAGGGCAGTAAGGGAGGTAGTAATACCACAAAATGGAGGTAAAGAAGGGAAGCATCTAAAGGTACTGGTCATAGCTGACATTTTTCAACCCTTACTCCGTGGAACAACAGTCAAAATGAATGGCCTAATGAGATGGATTAAATTTAAATATGAAAGGTGCCCTAACTTTTGCTACACTTGTGGGCTAATTGGCCATAGTGAAAAGGTCACAAAGATGACAATGGGAAGTGATCAACAAGAGAACCAGTACGGACCTTGGTTGAGAGTTAACAATGTGAAATTTTCACCTCAAAAGGAAAATAATAGCTACAGATCCCCTTCCAAAAGACAATATTGGGGGGTGGAAAATGGGGAACTGGTGAAAATAGAATCAAAGTGGCAGGAAGAGGGACGTGATTCCACAATCCCAAGGGAAAAGGAAAAAGTGGAAGGAAGCAATAAGGAGGTAAACAAACTCAAGGATAAAATGGATTACATTAACTACAAGAAAATTGGTCTTCAGTGACAAACCATTTTTGTCACAAAAAAATAAAAAAGTCGTCACTGATAACTTTTATTGACAACTTTCTAGTTGTCATAGAGTCGTCACTAAAGGCCCATCGGTAAAAGTACATAGTGACAACAATAAAAGTCGTCAGTGAATGGGACTGTTTTGTGACAACTGGTGTCGTCAGTAATTGTTATAATTTTAGTGATAACATAGTATCTTGTCAATGATGTACAAAGCAATATTGTCACTAAAAGTGATCCATAATTGTCATTGGTATAGATTAATCACTGACAACTTTTGTTGTCACTAAACATTTTTTAATTCTATGACAACATGTTGTTATTAATGGAAAATTCTGATTCAGTGATAACACTTTATCACCATGAAATTTGAAGATTTTCCTAGTATAATTATATCTATAAATGAATAAAAAATGACAATGCTTGAGAATTAGCAAATGAACGCATCCATTACATTACGAAATACCAAAATATCATATCAAGCATTCAAATATCATAATGAAGTTCAACAACACCCTACAAATAGTTTGATAAGTGGTATTTGGCCTAAATTTCACATATAAGTCGAGGTAGCTTTACAAAACAAATCCAAGTCCCAAAAAAAAAAAGTGTTGTCATGACATTTCCTAAGTATAAGATTTTCTTTATCGTCCTTGAGTCAATTAGCAACTCCTGCTGCTGATCTTCGAAAAAGCTAAAATGAGCAACATATCTGCAATGAAGTACTGCAATTATTATAGGTCATAAGAAAAACTTGAGACAATAAAGATAACTAAAGAATTTGCAAGAAAATAAGCTAAATCATTCCTTTTAAGTATAATCTAGACAATGACTAAATAAGAGCAAAGTAAGAGATAAGCACTTGGAACATTAGAGCTCAAGAAACATTTCTTTTACTTTCACTACGCTATTAAGACCTCAAGAAACAGTTAATATGCTTATGCTAACCAAACAGTGATCCTTCTATGGCTTCATAGGCTCCATTTGTATGGTTCATTCTATAGATTATGTATAGCAACTTCAACTTCAAGTATTGAAAATGCATATTGTTTATCGCTAGACCAAATTTCAATGACAAATAAAATTCGATATATATAGAGAAGACCATTGGTAATATTTTAATGATTTTAATAATAAAATATTTGATGCATCTAATATTTTAGTGAAACTTTGTAAAAAATGGAAAAGATGCTCCACTATAAATCGAAGCTTCTGACTATGAGGCGAACCAGTACATTCACTAACCAACCTACTTTCAATTTTCAAAAGTTCTAATAGCAAATATCACATGCTAGTAGCTTAAATAGCATAAAAGTAAGTAGTTATAAAGAAAAGTTTGCATAAGATGTGATGAAATACCAGATTATGAAATTTCCTTTCTACTAGTTAGCTTAGAGACCACTTGTCTCAAGTTTATATGCAAATGTCTCCTAGAAACAAAGTGAAAATTGTCACTTTTACAGAAACTTTGTTGACAAGACCCAACCATTTGAAACAAGTCTAACATAGATAGAAAGGAGTATATACTTACCCAAAAAACATCACAATAATTGGAAATTCCATAGCAAGGACCAATAGCATCAGCATAATAAGCTGCAAGACAATAACAAACCAATGATGTCCCTACGAAATGATACTGTGCATTATAAGCTCGAAGACAATGAATAAAATGGTAGCTGTGGTTCTTATAAGAAAATGTTTGCATATAAAACATATGTTTTCTTCTTTTAATTTTGATACTAATCTATACTTGTACCTAATAACGTTACAACTACATATTCCAAGAACACTACATAATCGTCAAAACTTACATATTCATTCAGGTAGTCCATCACCAAATATGAAAAAAATGGTAGGAAAGAACTACTTATTCAATATAAACTCTAGAATTTGGACAATGAAAATCAAGCTTGATTTATACCTTTGGCAAGGAAAATGCTGCCTCCAGGTTATACCATAATCTTGAATATCATGATTTCCTCAAAAAAAAACTTAAAACACCTGCTTGTAACATAGTTAGCTATATAAGGCAATTAAAAGTAATATCAACAGAATCAAAAGTAAAAACAACTGATTGAAAACTTCAAAAGTGTATTCCAGATTAATCACATGGTGAAAATTGGTAAACACTCCAGATAAGATAACCCAAGGTAGAACTTGGATAAATTTCCAATCAATTTCATTACTTTATGATGCACTGCTACCCACTAGAAACCTTCATTAAACAAGCAACTGGATATGATAACATGTGTGAATGTAACAAAAATCATAGAGAATGAAACCCATGCTGCATGTACCCTATTGTGTGAAATAATCTAGGTCCAAGTTTAAAAATGAAAGATTTTGATATTCTTGGGCAAGTATTTGGCTTTATAGCCAGATAATGAACATCTAACTAGACCCACAAAGAAGCTGAAAGGAGGCAAGAAGGTACGGAAGTGGGAACATATTGGGCACCTTTTTTTCTGATATCAATCACTACTAGAAACATATGACAGCTCAAAGTATCCTTACACGTCCATTTGATGATGTTTCTACTCTAGTGATCTAATGAAAGTGTGAAAGTGTGATCCATTCTAACATTAAGATATGTAATAATGACACTTTCAAACGTCCCAATTAGTAACTCTATTGGCAATTAGAAGCATCATTATTTTTATGAATTATGACACTTGCAAATGTCAAGAAAGAGGTGTTAACCACTGACATGAGTTAAACTAAAATGACACCCATTAAGTGTGATATTTTTACACTTGTCATGAAACTTTTTATAGTGTAACTAGAATAAGTTATTATGACACTTTTAATTGTTAACTTTTGTAAATAATTTGATAGTTGTGTATGACTGTTTTACATCCATTCTTCATTTTACATTTCACACTGCAGATCCCAATTCCAATTTTCATGACTATACCATAATATAAATTCAGCTATCTCTATGTTATCAAGTCCGTACTCCTTAACTAACCATAAAACTTCAGAAAATTGCACCTCCCAATGCAAAAGATGTGCAATATATACAAATTTCCCATGCGGCTTTTGTATTATATTTGAATTATGCTCCACTTCAGCAACTAAAAGTTGTTCATAAGCAAGTCTCTAGAATCAGCATTACAGTCAGCCATGACCCTTTTATTGACTTCATTAGTTGCACATTGGGAGTTCAAATGTAACTTACCTAACTTTAAAAAAAGGCAATATAACTTTTCTCTTGCAATTTAAAGAAATCAGAACTTCACTTCCAAAACTGAAAAGCCTGCTATTAAAAAACATAAAAAATAATAAATTATTTCATTCATGTACCAAGACTTGATCTCTATTGGATGGAGTACAGAATGGACATAAGGTCGGTGATGGTGTAGAGAATGGACATGAGATTTTCTCTTGAAATTCCCATGACAATTTACCAAATTTCAACACAAAAAAAAAAAAGAAAAGAGGGGAATTTTTTACATCAGAAAAAATTTCACTAAACCTTGCCATTTCCCAATTCCCTCTCCACCCAGCACCACTTAGCCCACTATTTTTCTCACTTGCAGCCACTCACAGCCATATCTACATCATAATTACCTCTTAAATCTTTTCCACTCCTACCACTATAGCTAATTAAAACCTTCACCTTCATCCCTAAACTCAACCTCAAACCCGTTTCCACCACCAACCCTACTGAAACCCTTTATCTTGCACAATAAAAAAAATGAAGTAATGGTATTCACAACTAAAATAATTCTAGTGGAGATGATTTCGCCCATAACTCAAACAACATCCAAAAAAATTGGGGCACAAATTTTTGGCAAAAAAATAATTAGGGCAAAAAAAATTGGGGAAAAATCGGGGAGAAGAATGAGAGACATGAGATACCTTTTGTTCAAAGAATTGGTGGAGTACTTCTTTTGTTCAACATCACAAAGATATGATCGATCTATGGAGAGAAGGAGGAGAATTGTTTTTTGTTAATAGTTTCTATCGAGGGAGTAAAGTGAGAGAGTGGGAGACCAATGGAGAGTAAAGCGGAGAGCTTTTCTATTGGGTTACAAAATGTTTGCTTTCCAAATTTGACCCGCACCACATATTTTTCACATACTTTGTTTATTTAGTTTCAGTGAAATATCGGTTCACTGAGTTCCCCAAAATTTCAATCAAGTTTTTTAGTTGAAGTATAATTTTACTAATACATTATTAATTGCTACCTTTTAACATTTTTGTCAAAAAAATTCATAATGTGAGTCAAGTTTTTGTTAAATTAATACAAGTGGTAAATGTACTTTTGGTCAACATCAAATAGTTCAATTTTTTTGGTAATAACTTTAAATATTTTTTTTGTTGAATAACTTCAAATAATTCACACAGTTGTTTAAACTTTATATCACTTCCTGAAAATTGCAAAACTAAATTACTATATCTTACTTTTAATTTAGTCTAGTAGTACCATAGGTCTTTAATTATGGAAAATTCTACTTTAAATAACATATGACTTATATGACCGACATAAACTAAAAGATGGTTCACCCCCTAATTTTTAGGAATTCCCATATATTTGTGTCTATTGGTTTGTATATAGTGTTTTTTAAAGTCAGTTATTTTAAATGAACTCTTTAGTTATTTTATACTGATAAGCCATGTATGTTACCGGTTAATTTTGTTTGAAGTTATTGTACTACTAATTTGCAAAACAAACCTAGGTTGCCATTAATTTTTAGTAGATTTTAAATAGAGCATATTAAATTAACAAAGCACATTTTAAATAGCGCACATTCAATTAACATCGAATACAAAACTTCACTATTAATCCATTATCTTCAAATAAGAAAAAAAATGCACAATTAAACTATTATATAAAGTGTATTAGTTAATTAACTATGGAGTTTAGGTTTTATCCATTTTGATAACTAGTTCAATTTGAAAACTCTTATTTATATTCATATCAAATTAACTAATAATCATTCTAAGTTAAGTAGTCACAAGTTTATTTACACTAATGAATTTTTTATTTTTTAATTATTTTTATTCTAATGAAGTTATTACATATACAAGAAAATTAAACTAATAAGGAGGCTCATAAGTATATAACAGTTAAAAATAATTAGAGAATACATAATGATTACAAAAAATTAGGAGTAATAGTTGCAAAAAGCAATAAATATTTTAAACCAAACAGTGACAAGACTAGGTTGTCGCTGACGGCTATACAATGTTATCAGTGACAACAATTGCAAAGTTGTCAAAGAAAGTGCTATTAATACTGACAACTTTTAGAAAGTCGTCACTATTGCAGCTCCCGCTCTCTCCATGACTCCTGGCGGAAATCGAATTGTGACGACAATGCAAGGTTGTCACTGATGTATTGGCTCCCTTGACTCAATTGTGAGAACTTGCTGTATTGTGGTTAAAGGACCCCATTTTGTGACGATTTTTTTTCGTCACTAAGAAATGTTGTCAATAATGACCAAATTTCTTGTAGTGATTCCAAGGCAGTTGAATAAGGAAATCCAGATACAGAGTCTGATTAGTAATGAAAAAATAAGAAGTAGTCATTCAAACCTTGGCAGTATGAAGGGTATAATAAATGAGGATGTCCAGGCAAAAGTTTAGCTATCCAGCAAAAGCAAAATGGTGGAGCTTTTACAAGAAATAGAGAGATGCAAAAAACCAGAAACCCATGAACTTAATGAAGATGATGAGGTAATGGTGAACTCACAGCTGCAAGAACCAAGTCAAAAACCTGTGCCAACCAACCAAGAAGGCAGCAGTAGCAAGATCAACCCAAGTGAGTACAAGATAAACCAGCGAGTCAAAGCAGCAAGATCTCTCACATAGAACATCCTTAGAGGCAGGAAAGGAAAATAAAAAGAACAGCAAGTATACCAACGGGAAGAGGAAGGAGGGTCTTGTAATAGATTGATGGCAATTGTTTGAGCCAGGCAGGAACAACAAAAAGGAAACTGGAACTAGAGGATGAAAACATGACAGAAACTGAGAACTTTGAACACTTGTAGAAAAAGAGCAAGGGTGGAGGTCAAGACATGGAATTAGAACAATCTGAGGAAGGCGTGGGTGCCAGCCTGCACTGGCCTCCCAGTGATCAATGAAGGTAATGGTGTGGAACTATCAAGGTGCCGGGAGCCCCTTGACAGTTCCCCATCTAAAGGAGTACAAGAAACTCCTCTCCCCAGATTTGATGCTCCTATGTGAAACAAAGAATAGAAAACAATATATGGAAAAAATTCAAAGGATCCTAAACTATGAACACAGTTATATAGTGGAAGCAATGGAGAGAGCATGTGGCATGGTCCTATACTGGAGTGCAGATATCAAAGTAGTGCAGGTGCAACACACGGCCTTTACTATAGAGGATCAAGTCGACAACGGTGATTGGTGGATGGTTGGAATCTATGCAAGTTGTGATGATTCAATAAGAAGACAACGGTGGTCAGTCATACAAAGAAGAAAACATCTATGGGGCAATAACTGGATAGTAGCCGGGGACTTCAATGACATTTGTTATTAGAGAAGAGTGAACCTTCAATGATTTCAGGAACTTTATCAATGAAAACCAGCAGGTAGACATTGGATATGAAGGACAGCCTTGTACCTGGAGCAATAACTAGGAGGGGGATGGTGAGATCAAACAAAGGCTTGATAGAATATTGAGCAATGCACAATGGAATCAGAAATTTGAAAAAGCAAAATGTACTCACATTAAGACACATGCTTCTGATCACAGTGCTCTAGTTTTGGATAACACCCCACTGGAAAGAAACAGAAGGAAAAGATTTTTCTTTGACAAAAGATGGCTTCAAAGGGATGGAATATCTGATGTAATTAAGGAAGCTTGGAACAAGAGTGTTGAGGGATCAAGAACATTTCAGGTTAAGACAAAAGTGAGGAATTGTAGAATAGCTCTACTGAAATGGTGTAACAGAATCAATAAAAATTCTAGGAAAAGGATTGAGAATATCAAGGAGCAGCTGGATCAGATTCAAGGAACATCCCTGAAGAGTAAAAGAAAGGAAAAGGCAACACTCAAACTACAGCTGAAGGAAGCTTGCAGAGATGAGGAAATGTTTTGGAGCCAAAAAGCTAGACTCAAATGGCTACAAGAAGGAAACAAGAATACTCAGTTCTTCCATGCACTTGTAAATGGTAGAAGAAAGAGTAATAGAATGCATAAACTACAAAAGAAAGATGAGAATTGGACAGAAAATGAGGTAGAATTAGGAGCTGAAATTGGCAACTACTACAGGCAACTCTTCACTAAATCTACTGAAAGTAGTAATCATGAGATTTTAGCTAGAATTCCAAACTCTATTTCTAATGCCATGAACAAGGATCTAACCAAGACTGTAACTAAAGAGGAAATCAAATCTGCATTCATCTTTATGGAAAGCAACAAGGCTCCTAACATAGATGGGATGTCCCCCTATTCTTCCAAAAATTCTGGGACATAATCAAAGGAGACCTGGTAAATGCCATAAAAAGCTTCTTTCATTCTGGTAATATGCTTAAGGCTATCAATCAAACTATCATTTCTTTTATCCCCAAAGTCCCTTGCCCCACTAACATCATGCAATACAGACCCATTAGCCTCTGTAGTGTGATGTACAAAGCTATTGCCAAAACCCTAGTTAATAGGCTCAAACCAATTCTGCATCATTGCATCAGCATTAATCAATCTGCTTTCATTCTTGGGAGACATATTCTTGATAACATCATTATCTCTCACGAAACTTGCATCATCTTAAAAACAAAAGGCAAGATAAGGATGGATTTATGGCTGTGAAGCTTGACATGTCAAAGGCCTATGATAGAGTAGAATGGCACTTTTTTGCAAGCTACGATGGAAAAAATGGGTTTCTGTGAGAAATGGAAAAACTGGATGATGAATTGCATTAGTATAGTTTCCTTCTCTTTCAACATAAATAGAGAGTGTAAGGAATACATTTTACCAGAAAGGGGGATAAGATAGGGTGGCCCTTTGTCACCACATCTATTCCTCATATGTTCAGAAGGTTTTTCTAATCTGCTGGAAAAAGCAACACAAGCAAGGAAAATGACTGGCATCAAGATAAGCAGACAAGGTCCCTCAATAACTCATCTTTTTTTTTTTTTGCTGATGATTCCCTAATTTTTTGCAAAGCCAATTCTCAAGAAGCAAAAGAGCTAAAGAGGATACTAGATTTGTATGAAAAAGAATCTGGTCAAATGGTTAACTTAGACAAGTCTAGTGTGTTTTGTAGCAAAAATGTGAATCAGGCAACAAAGGAGGAAGTGTGTGCAAAACTAGGAAGAATTCAAACAGTATCACAAGGGAAGTACCTAGAATTGCCAATGGTGGTTTCAAGGTCTAAAGGACAGCTGTTTGGTTACATTAAGGATAACATCAAGAGGAGGATGCTAAGCTGGAAAAACAAGCTTCTAAGCTCAACTGGAAAAGAAGTTCTGATCAAAGTAGTTTCTATGGCAATGTCTACTTACACAATGTCTTGTTTCAAATTACCTTGCAGGTTATGCAAAGAGATCAACTCTATGCTATCTAATTTCTGGTGGGGAGAAAAGGACAACAAAAACAAGATTCACTGGGTAGTTTGGAAGTAGCTGACTAATGAGAAAAAACGAGGAGGCATGGGATTCCAGGAGATTCAAAGCTTTAACAGAGCTTTGTTGGCTAAACAGATTTGGAGAATTATCAACAATCCAAATCTATTATCCAGCAAAATTCTGAAAGGCAAGTACTTTCCAAATTGCAATGTGTTGGAATGCTAAACTCCTAACAATGTTTCATGGTTTGGCAAAGCATTATGAGTGCAAGAGAAGAGCTTCAGTGGGGGATACGGAAAAGGATAGGGAATGGACTTTCAACTAGAATATGGGAAGACCAGTGGATCCCAAACCAACCTCTAGGGAAACCTACCACAGCCAAGCCAGAAGAATGTCAAATACAAAAAGTTGTTGACCTGATTGAGGACTACAGGTGGAATAGGAACCTCATCTTCAAAAATTTCAAAAGAGGGGATGCTGAAAGCATTCTCAAGATCCCCACAAGCATGACAGGAAGAGAGGACAACACCTTATGGATAGGGAACCAAAATGGAGAGTATACGATGCAATCAGGCTACAAGTCTATACAGGCTAAGAAAGAACAAGAGGGAAGAGAAAGAGGAAATGGGATCGAGTCAAGCAGCAGTCAAAGAAGGCATCACATGTGGAGAGTTCTATGGAGTCTAAATATCAGTCATAAAATTAAGATATTCATATGGAAAGGTCTAAAAGAAGCTGTTCCAGTCAAAGAGTTAATTTGGAGACGAATGATGAAAGGAGATCCAATATGCTCAGGATGTGGAGAGGATATAGAAACGCTGAAACATATGCTGCTGGAATGCAATAGAGCAAAGGAAATCTGGAAAGTAGCCCCAGTACAATGGGATGGGATTCAGGAGTTGACTTGGAATTTCAACACCTGGTAGGCAGCATTATCCAAAGCAATACACAGAGATCAAGGGATGGATCATATATCTCTTACAGCATATATTCTTTGGCAGATTTGGAAATGCAGGAATGACAAAGAGTTCAACAACAAAACACAAGAACCAGGGCAGGTGATCAATAAAGCCTGGAATGCTTGGATAGAGTTCAATGATGGGATCAAAAAAGCCAGGAGCTGTAACATTGGTAAAACAACAACACCACATCAAACGGACGAACAAGAGGTCAGACAAAATCTAGAAATCAGACCAGGAGGAATGCATATCAGAATATCAACCAAATGGAATAAAGAAACAAAGTCCATTGGTTATGGTATTGTAGCAGCTGACAGTAGGGGACAGGATGTGTTGGGATGGAAAATGAGGGAAAGAGAAAGCAACAACCAACTTCAACATGAAGCTGAAGGTGTCAAACTGGCCTTGATCAAAGCAGCAGAACAAGGTTGGAGACTAGTATGCATTGAAGTTCCAGGTAAAGACCTACTGCAACAAATTCAAGGGATTAAAACAGTGGATATGTGGCTAGCTACCCTGATAGATGATATCCATGAGCTGAGTATTATGTTTTACAAATGCTCATTTTGCCTAGGGAAATCTAATAGGAATGATCTAAGTTGTTTGTTTAGGGCTCAAGTTTTGAGCAATTATCATGATATAGAATGGGTTAATCCCAACATACTGTGCTAAATGCACATTGTAAAGCATCGAGCAACTGCTCGCCTGTATATATTTGGTTCAATCAATACAATCCTATCATTTCGACAAAAAAAAAAAAAGATATCCCAAGCAAAGAATGTATTGTAGGATCATCCATTTATAATTATAACCGCTAAATTGTTATAAGGGATAATTTCAAAAACCTTCCTTGAGGTTTCTGATAATTTTACTGACCTCCCCTAATGTTTACAAAATTACACAAACCTCCCTTGAGGTTAAGATTTGATAACAAAATTAGTTCAATTAGAAAAAGTAACTTTAATAAAAGGCATGAAACTTTTATTTCATAAATACCCCTTATGCATGTATATAAGTTGTATTAGTAAAAGAATAGAAACAATTAACACACACATTTTACCACTCAAAAAGTTCACATTTAATAAATTAAATAACACAAATAAGTAATAAAACTACACTAAGGATCACAAAATGCAACAAAACAGAATAGTCATCTTTTTTTTACATGATTATTACTTTCCTCTCTATTATTAGTTTTCTACTAGATTGGTTAAATTGATAATGAAAATGCTTGTAGGTCATAACCAATTACAGCATTTGTTTGTAAAGTTTTAATCCAAAATATCGAGGTTGTGACTGGATTAGTTGGGATCCATGGCTTAGAATTTAGAGGATCTGGCCCAAATCTAAGCAGCTTTGTGCAGGTCATTATGATTCAATCCAAAAATAGTCCCTCCAATCCAATCAGATTTTTGTTTTCCTTCGAATTTCAAGTTATATGACAAAAATGTCCTCTCCAACTTTTCTCTGCTTTTTCATATCTTTTCAAAAGGCCTTCTTCGAGAGGGAGACCACCATTTCATGGATTTTTTAAAAATAAAATCTTTCCTAAATTTTTTATTTGAGAGTTTTTTGTTTCTCTTAAGGACTTCTATTAAGAATTTTCTATTTTTCTAGAGATTCCTATGGATTTATTTTTCTTATTTTATTGTTAGATCTAAATTTATTTCGAATCTAATTGTCAGATTTCTTTGGATTTTAGATTTATTTCGACAGATCTCATTATTATTATTTGAGTTCAAAACAGTTGATTATCAGAGCTGATGACTGCAACATACATAGAAGGAAGCCACATCAATTTATCTATTGAAAGATGATTTGAAATTTCTTGTATATTTCAGATCTATTCTTAATTTTTCAGATTTGTTATATCTATTAAATTACAGATCCATAATGTGTAGTACATGTTTAACCTGCCATTAAAATAGTGATGAAAATCAAATCGTTTGGACAATTTTCAGCAACTTGTTAATGAAATTTGCTTTTATTAAAAAAGGGTATATGACAAAAAAAAGATTTTTTTTGTTGAAAAGTGTAAATATTATGTATTAGAAGGCATTGTATAATTCATACGTATCATATGAACCACCAGCTCTTGGGCTGGTGGCCACCACCAAGCCCTTAAGGCTTTGGTGGGGTGGGAGGAAACCTTGCCTCCCACCAAAATACTACTCTTATGGCTCTTCTTCAAATCCAGACGGGTGCGTAGTGCACCCATCTGGTCCGGTGGTGGTTCTGTCCTCATCGATCCCCCATAGGCTTAGTTGAGCCTCCCCCGTAATTAGAGTAGGTGTAGGAGTAAAAGTAGGGATGATAATTGACAAAAAAAAAATGATCCACCATTATTCCTTTTTTTTTTCATTTTGAGAAAGTCTACAAGTAATAGGTGATATGTTATCAATGAACCATTAAATTTTTTCCTATTATGTATGGCATGATCATTTCTTATATTCATAGGTCAGATATACTAATTTTCCAGTTAGGTTAATATACTTTACTTCTTAACATAGATAAATGAGGAACAATAAGATTTTTATAATATCAACTTCAAATAATATATGTTATATTTTTTTTCCTTACTATTGTGCAATGTAAATTAATCGAACTTCGGATATCACAACAATTTTAGTTTGCTCTTGTACAACGACAAGTGTCTTTAGGCACTGAAATCAATCTCAATTAAAAATATGGGCATTTTTTCTCGTATCAACTGTCTCTGGGAATGGTAGCAAAACCAACGGGTTCTAGACCCAAAAGATGGAAAGTCATTTTTTTTGGGCTAGCCCATTACATATTGAAAGACTCCAAACATTGCCCCTCCCCATATACTCGTTATCAAGCTTTGTAATATGACGTAGATCCATTAGTATTGAGTATAGTTAGTAAACCCGACTCAATCCGATTTTCTAATTAGTCAACCCGATGAATCAGTCAGTGGGTCGAATTGGGTTTCTAATTGGACCATTTAAGTATGAAACCATAGTTATTAAATTTGGCTAGGAAAGGAATCCGGTGAAGGAGGTGTGTCAACGGATCACTAGTTCAATCAGTGGGTGAGTGGTTGAACTAGTAGGTCACTAAATATATTTAAATATTATATTTCATAATTTTTTATATAAGATATATGATATAAACTGTAATAAACAATGCCATAGCAAATGCTCATTTAATTTAATTTGTATAAGAATTAGCAAAACATAAATTTATTTAGTAATCTACCAAGCTTCAAGTGCAAAATTTTATCTATGTTTAGTGTAATTATCCAATTTATTTATGAATTTTAAGTGCAAAAAATTATTAAAAATGATATTTGTCTTTAAAATGAATTATGTAATATGTTATTGTTTAAATTCATTTTATAACTTATAGAGTTTGGGGGTTTATAACTTTTTATTAAAAGATTCCAAATAAATTTGTTTTAGAGAAATAAAAAAAGAATAAAGATAGAATTGACAAAACATTCATATATTTTAAGAAAGCTATTCAATTAATATTTCCCAAGTAGTCTGGTGGTGAATATACTATAAGAACATATTTAAAGTGCTAAGTTCAAATCTTAGTTAAAGCTTGTCAAAATTTTTTCCACAAAAAATTGATATTCATAAAACTAACCAAGCTTTTGCTAAGATTCCAACTTGAAACCTTAAGTATATACTATATACCTATAACATGTTCACCACCAGACCACTTGTCAAACATTAATCAAACAGTTTTCTTATAATATATGAAGTTTTATCAATTTTATCTTTATTCTTTGTTTATTTCTCTAAAACAAATTTATTTGGAATCTTTTAATAAAAACTCATGAACCCCCTAACTCTATAAGTTATAAAATGGATTTAAAAAATAACATATTACATAATGCATTTTAAAGACAAATATCGTTTTTAATAATTTTTTGCACTTAAATTTCGTAAATAAGCTGGATAATTACACTAAACACAGATAACATTTTGCACTTGAAATTTTGTAGAGTACTAAATAAATTTATATTTTGCTGATTCTTATACGAATTAAATTAAATGAGCATTTGCTATGACATTGTTTATTACAGTTTATATAATATATTTTATATCAAAAATTATGAAACATAATATTTAAATATTTTTGGTGACCACTGGTTCAGCCACTCACCCACTGGTTTAACCAATGACCCGTTGACCCATTTTCTTCGCTGGATTCCTTTTCGGACTGGGTTTAATAACTATGGTCTTGAGCATGTATGATAGTATATTATATGTGTGAGAGTCATAGTATATGTATTCAATTCAAAAAATTCAATGAAAATATTTTCACATATTAAGCAGTACTTAATACATTAACTGACAAGGCATTTTTGTTATTGAACATGCTAAATTCAAAAAGTTCCGAATGAATTAATTTTCAACATTAAGCAGAGTCATCACACAATGTCTTAACCTATCAATCATGCTGAATGCTTTTCTCAAGTCCCCTAAATGAATCCTTGAAACTAACTTCACTGCCATTGCATATTATGGTAGTCTAGGCTTGCACATGCAAAAAAAAAAAAAAAAAAAAAAAAAAAAAAAAAAACAACAACAACAACATCGCTAATTGTCTAAACAAGAACTCAAACACATGGAGCTTATAGCATGGGCACTTGACCCTGTTTGATAACCCAATTCATCATTTAAATTTAATGGATTCATATCTTAATATGTTCAAACACATTTGATAATAAAAAATTAAGCATCCAAATTAATTAAGTAGCACTGAATTTTTTAAACAAAACTTGCTCCAAAAAATAAGTGATAAACTATTCATTTATCATTTTATATGATATACACTCAAATATATTAAATTTAATATTTAACAATTTAATAATTTGATGGATTTAGGCTTCAAATTTCAAATTTCAGACTTTAGTTTTATCAAATGCACTCTCAAACCCTGTTTAATAACCCAATTCACACTTAAATTTATTGCATTTAGATTTTTACATGTTCAGAAGCGTTTGATAACAAAAATAGAACATCTGAATTAATTAAGAAGCATGGAATTGTCTAGGCAAAATGTGTTTCTAAAAATAAGTGATTACCTATTCACTTATCATTTAATATAATATACACTTAAATGTTTCAAATTTTAGTACTTAATAATTCAATAATTTAATGGATTCAAAATTTCAAACTTCATATTTTATATTTCACTTTTATCAAATGCACCCTTAGCCTAAACTAGAATCAAGTGAATATAAAATAAGGAATTAACTTCAAAACCAGTGGTGGAGCCAGAAAAAAATCTCAGTGAAGGCAAAAATAACATTAAAATTTTTTATCTGCTCTTTTTCTAGTTTTTTAAGCAAAAAAAAAAAATTCACCAACAAGTACAAATGATACGTATATTCCATGAGAAACATAAAAAGACAAACTCAAATTTATTAATGTAATAATATTTTTATTTCAAAAATAAACTAAACTATTTACAATTGTTTACAACGAGTTTTCATATTTTGATAATGGTTTAAGACTTTCTCATTTTGAACTTCACGAAGTATATTTTTCTCAATATAAGTAACTAAACAATCATTCATCCAAGTGTCTCCCATTCTATTTCGCAACCGATTTTTCACTATATTCATAGCTGAAAAAGCCCTTTCTACTATAACTGTAGCAACAGGCAAAATTAAAACCAACTTTAAGAGCATATAA